ATTATGGCAGGGCGAAAAGGATGTCAAGTTATTGCGTGCCATTTTTGAATAAGTACGGAAAGCAAACAAGCCAAAAACTTTTTTGCATTATTAATCAAAATCGGTGATTTCCACTATGAAGTTTGCACTTCCCTGTGGTGGTTCTTACACAAATTATTACAAGTTGGAGTAACACGTGTTTTTGCAACGTCAGAAATGTGATGACAACCTGAATTAGCTCAAAAAATTCATAAAAGTTGTGTAGTGGGATCAGCATGCTAAATTCTCCAGATTTCTTATCGAGCGTCCTCTTAGACAGACTGTTCCACAATGCTTTCATATTTTGAAAGTTTCTACCACAATCCCACAGTCGCAGCGACCAATCCGCTCCAAACTGCAGATCTAAGTTGAAGCAGCTCTAAGGGCTGTACCTAAAGATCGACGAAGGACATTGAGCAAAAGAGTCACTGGTCCAAAGCGCAAAATCTGTTGGGACATTCTGTACTACCGGTTGTGCTTCAGAAAGCCATTTTTGTGTATAGTTCGCGTGTATAGCACTTCGCAGAGTTGGGCTTCGTTGTCCAGAAACCTAGATCGGCATGAACTCAATGCTGCATTCTCAAAAGAAAGTTAAATAATCTTCACTTAACGGAGTCCTGTGATTCCTCTCTTCACGACTTTTATCAACTATACAATAATGTAAAGCAAACGAGGAAAATCTGTTTTTCTTCTAATTTTACTCACGAAGATCTTCATTCTAATTTTAAGCTCTTCATTCTAATTTTAAGCAGTCACAAACGGCACTAATGCCAAAGAGGGTGGGACTATGATGCTTCGAATAGCTAACGACCCTGTGGGCCGCTAAGTTTGGTTGGGACAAACACTTTATTAGCCGGCTAGCTGTGACCACGAGTATCTCAACATTTTATACCTTTTCTGGGAGCTACTTGTGAAAATACACTTTTATGAGGGATTCTCGCAGAAGCGGAGAATTTCACAATTCCAATAAGTCATGAAAGTTTTATCACATCATACGAGATTTGAAAACAAAAAGTTGATATTTTTCCGAATACCTCGTAGAAATTCATTTATGAAATTAGACTTCCTCCTCACCATGCCCTTTATAAGGTGACTTATGAGCCCTTCAAGCTTGGATTTTACGAAACTGATGAAAATCACATTATGAAAACAAGTTCTTTTTTCCAAAATAAAAGACCATGACAGGATTTCGCCACCATCTCACAATATCTTGCGAATTCTGACATGAAAATGATCAATGGATAACTTCTGACTCATTCTACGCGAATCTCCAAAATTTCCTAACAATCTTCATTGAAAGTCACCTCGAAAGCAGTAATCTCTAAACGACGATGATGCAAAAGAACCAGCTTTTCAGAAAAATGCCTTAGTTTTCAGAACGGGTGACAAAAGCTTTAGGTGCCTACAGACTTTTTCCTTTTGTAAAGAACGGCTCCACAGACCGCCTACAGAGCGATCGATATGCATAAGAACTGCCGGAGAGAAAAACTGCCTTATGAGCCGTCCGACAATTCATGAGAAAACTTTCTTAGCAGCCGAAATTCGAAAAACTGCCTATAAGTCCCTTACAAATCAGCATTTCAAAGAAAAACGCCCTTAAAGCAGCCTACAGAATGTTATGCATGTTATGTTATGTTATGCACAGCTGACATGCTACCCTTTGATTCAACTGGATTGGCGGCTGGAAGTTGGGGATTTGTGACCTAACCAAGGTTAAATGATGATCAAGAGCGCGCCCGCGAGAAAGACGTAGACTGCGTCGCGTGCGCAGTGGTCGCCTTCCGGCCGCCAATCGTTGAATCAAAGGTTATATTAGCAAGGACTCAAAGATGTGTCACGCCATCTCGATAGCTGAGAAGCTTCGAAATCAAGTCGGAAGTAAATAACCTTACTATATCTGCTGAAACTGCTGAAGGGAAAGTGATTAAATGAAGTGGAGATTTTCCAAAAAAGCGATATCTGAGCTCAAGACGTTTCCCACGTTTCAAGGAGATTTCTTTTTGGCTAACCACTCTATGTTTTACTGAATCCATGCCAAAATAATGATTTGGATATCAGTGGCAAGGCTCACTCTGTATAGTTGTTTGATCTTCAAGGTTGACCCATACTTCACAGGCGTCAGGAATCAGGATTATGGATGCTCCCCTTATTTTCTTCTGCGGAAACACAACACGGTTACATGCAGTATTCCATCAAGTTAGCAAAATCTCTCTTATAAGCTGAGCGTTCTTTACTTATCAGCTTTTGCTGCACTTCGTGCCTACACATCAAAATATGCATCTTACTGTAGTGCATAGTTCATAATCTTCATCCAATAGCCTTCGTGAAAAATAAGTTCTATTGTTGAGACAAGTGTCACACCAATCTGGACTGGGATCTTGAAATGCATAGATTGAGATACTAGGCAAAATTGTTTTTCCAGTTACTAGGCAAAATTCAATCTCCGTAGCTACCTCTGTAGCGAAAAAAAACTTTGCGCAGCTTTCAGCTTCATGAAAGTCTGGATCAGAAATCAATCAGATTTTGCGAATATAAACATTAGCAGATAATCAACTTCTGCACAGCGAAATTTTGTAAGCACAAGAGGAAAACAGGATTCCCACTTTTAAGGTTGGTAAAGAGCCTTGCAAATTGGTATCAGCAGAATAAACTTCATGGCACAGAACACGTTATTTGCTATTCAGATGCGTTTTATATGAGCAAGTTTCTAAGCGCAAACTCATCTGCAGAACATAGTCCCTTCACTTCTTTGCTACTCTCTATGAACGGAGGAAATTAGTGCATATATGTACGTGGTGAGAATTGTAAGACTAATTATTTCTGTCATCACAAGAAGAGGCAAGTTCAGAAAGGGCTGCCTTACTGGAAACTGGGTTTGTATCAATCGGAAAAATGTTGTGGCTTTTTGAAAACAGCGAAGAAGCACCATTTATGGTAGCTCATGTACAAAACCTCATCTAAAAGTTACGTAGTTTATTACTAAGCGTTATAATTTTACTGGATTCCAATCTTAGACTGCATCGCTTAACCAGTCATTAAACACTTCATTGGGCAAATCTGTGTGCTTAATTGCAGGACTATTGTCATGTAAACACATTCCATATATCCGTCCTAGTAATCGAGTGAAAAATTCAACAAAAAAACCCCCAAAACATGTAACAGCAGCCTACTTAGTTTGTATTTTTAGCGTTCTGGTAACATCCATGTGAACTGTTTAGTGTTTATTATATGATTAACTTAATTGAAGCCGCTTCTGATTTTCTTGAAAATCGATATTTTTGCCACAAAAAACCTCTGTGTTTTTATGCCTCATCCTTTATGTGCATTATCAGATATGCAAATTATAGCCATCTTCCTAAAGACGATATCTCCCATAACTTTGATTGTTCCGAAACCCCTTTTGAAGTATCATGAAGTATCAGGTTGGTTCACAAGTTTCTACCCGTACATTAAAATTTGAAAAAAAAAACCATTTCAAGCTGTGTCCATTGTAGAAATCCTTTCCTCTTTCTATCTCTTGTTGACAAGTATATGATCGATGTTTGTCTATGCCGTGCGCTTTGGTGACTCCCACACAACGGCGGTAATCATTCCCCCGGTAAAAGAGTTTACATAAAACAGATGCGCGACTGCTATGGAAAGATGAGTCTGTCTCCATTCCCATCTCGATTTCCCAGTCCAGATTTCTTGATTCTGTCGCTTTTTGGGTTTATGTTTTTTCTCACCTTGCACTGTAGTCGCCAATTTGAACTTGTATAAAACTTCTATTCGTAGATGGTCTCTTCGATCTCCTCGTAGAACCTGTCGAGCTTGCCTTCATCTGCTGCTTCTATAGGCCAATAACGATTGACAATACTGATCTTCTTCTGATGTGAAGCAAAAGGCATAGACTACTTATTATGGCTTCAAAATTTAGTAAGAGTTGACGAGAATAGATGGGACAAAGCCCAAGCCTCTGATTTCGCGTACTGGAACTTCTAATTGGGCAAGTTCACAATCCTTTTCTTTTGAGTGTGATCGAGCTTCTGCTCTTTACTTTTTTTGTAAAGCAATTACATTAGCAATTACAAAATCGAAAACACCCTCTATATTTTGTCAATTCCGCTTTGTTAACTCAAAGTCGAGCCTTCTTGGAAAACTGAGACGTCTCTCGATTTTTCCCTACTTCAACTTCTGAGATTTTCCTTGTCAGGCAAATGAGAGCTATGGGGAACTCCACTATGGATGTCGATTGCTCCATGAATGTCTCAGACAATTTACGGTACTAGCAACGCGTAAACTTTGCAAAAGTAAATTCCATAACCATTAGGAGATAAAATGCGCAAGCTTTGTGTTTTTGCAGAGTGTGACAAGTTTTGTATTGTTGGTAATTTTCATATCCAATGCAGAAAGGGAAAGACTGATAGGTCGCTCTTTTCAAACAATGTCGGCCTATAGAATGCCTTCTACTTTACACCAGTTGTGCATTTTCCGAAAATTGTTCCCTCTGATTTACTGAATGTGAGGTGCATTTCCTTGAAAATTCGCAGTCGAATACATATCAGTATACAACTTTGATGACAAAAACCGTTGACAAACGACTTTCAAGTGCGTCTCATCATCTCAGAGGTTAACTGTGGGCATGACAATATCTGCATCATAATAGTAGCAGTAGGTTGCAAAAGGATCTAAATATCTCTTTGTGAAAGGCATACAACATTGAGCATGTTCTTGTTATGTTTGGTATATTTCAGCAACTTCATAAAGCTTGTTTTAGGTGGAGAAGAACTTTTTCAACTTAACGTAGATATGATTTGCACGGTCACAAAGATTTATTCATCAGTGGATGAATGACTAACGCTAAATCAAGCAAAGCGGCTAAATCCATGCTAAACCCAAGCTTTGCACAAACAGCAGATCGTATTTTTAGGGGATATAAAAAGTAGCCCCTACTAACTGAACCTCAGCTTGCTCAGACTAGTCAAAATACTGTCTGTGAAAGCTCAGCAGGGTAATTTGTAGTCGTCGTTGTACGGAAGGCCTGTGGAGAGTTCAATGGCGTCTACCATGTAGAAGATAAGCACTCCAGGGAGTGCTACATATAAATTGCCGTCCCCTGTTGGACCTATAGGCATTGTTCCACAACACGTTCCCGCACAGGCGATTGATCTGCAAACGTCTGCGAATGCATAGGCATGCATGAAGGTGTAGCCAGTCACATTGTAGACCTTTCCAATGTAGATTCTACCGCCTGGAAAAGGTATTTGTAAGAATATGTGGATACATAATGCATTAATGCCTCAACTGTTAATAAAACAATACATTTCGCAACCATCTAAGCATTTGCTAGGAACCTCAAGATAAATCGCAGACCCAGAACTTTTTTACAGTATTCGCCTCCCTGATTCAAGACAAAACATTCAAACTGATTCGCTGTATTGTAAAAGTTTCTTCCTAATTTTCCGGCATCCTCTTTTGTCATAAAAAATTTGAAACTGCATTGTGAAAAGACCTCAAGAAAATGGTCTACTTAAACAATCACACCGGGGGAAGGCGGTCCCGAAATATGCGCGTTATTAAATTTTCACACTCTACTCGAAAATTTTTATGGAACTAAAGACTTTGCCAATGCCGCATGTTGATCCTTTCCTTCCTCTTATACTGCGAGCAGATCGCTGTTTTCGATCGAAATGAGGATTAATAAATAAGCGGCCTTGCTGAAGCTCGTGTTTTCGAAATTCCGCGAGCAGTATGCAAAACATCCTTCATTTTTTCCGGTTTCCGCCTACCCCAGCGTATTGTCTGATTACTTGTATTTTGAAGAGCAGTGAATTGCTTAATGTACGGCCAACCCATACTACGGAGTAGTCAGAAAAGGAACTCCGATTTTAGTACAACGAAAAGATTGAAATATGCAGTTTAAGGCATTTTGCAACTTGCGCCTGGACCTCACCTAGCGTCTGCAGTTTTTTTTTCAAATTTTAGTCTATTGTAAATCTGGACGTTAAGCCATCTAGCTTCTACTATCTCAAATTCCAAGAAGTCTGTATACCACTTGTAAAAGTCAATATCTCACTTGCAGTTGTGAATACAGGAAGTGATGAACAGCCTGGCTGAGGTTCTCTAGCGAAGATGAACCTGTAATAGCTCAGTTTTCATAGTAATATGATTTTCATTGCTTTGTAATGCCCATTTGTTCTTTTACAACTACATGATGTTGATCTATCGTTTATTTCTAACTACTTGTTGCTGATGGATGATGCAAGGTTCGTATTAGAAATCATCATAGACATCAATTTAGTGGTGAGATTATTGAGATAAAGAATTGAAAATTACTTGCGATCTGGTTTCGTGCCATCCGGAAACAGCGAAGCATTTTGTGAGTAGAACCACCTTCGAGCGTGATAGAATGCATAAATGGATGTCACGTTTTGGTCAAACAGACTATCAAGCTCAGCTTCGTCCTGATTTATCACTAGTTTGGAGACATCTTCAGGAAATTCAACTTTTGATGCAACCGGAAGAGGCTGCTGACAGTTTGGAATCACAAGTTGGCGATCAATGCTGTACACCACTCCGGTTACGTTTTGAGTTTCAGAACCATTCTTGTAAATGGTGCACACACCCTAAAATTGATAATGAAAATTTTCTCTATGCAACAAAGCCGACCAATTCGATTATTCAGAAAGAAAGATGGGGAAAACCGTGATGAGCTGGACGAAATGGGCAAAGGTGCAGTCAGGCTCTTCGTAGCACACTTGAAGGCATTCCGGTTCACTCTTTTTCAGCATTTCATACTTGAAGCTTGCAGCAAACTCTCCCTGGTGTGGAGTAAAGGTACAACCAGACGCTTGTTGGACCTGCAAATTACACACTTTTTACTGTTATTAGTACAAATTGATTTTTTAAATCGTTCCATATTTTTGAATAGAAAAGAAGTTCAGCATCTTTATTTACCTGCATTCCCATCAAAAGCCAGATCAAACCAGTGGGAAGAGTTACGAAGCACATGGTTACGTTAGTCAAAGACGTTTGACTTCCTGAAATCTTTGGTCAGTAGCTCAAAGTTTTGCCTTGTATTCTTGCAAAGCACACAGTATCTCGTTTATTGTACGCTTTCGAATGCCAGAGTTAGTGCCAAAGAAGAAAAAGTTGTGCTTCAAATTAAATGCAAAATTTGCAAAGTGCTGCTTGTGGAAAGAAAGATTACCGATACTATCTAAAAAGGTTTCATAGGCATCGTTATTGTTGCTGTAGAGGTTGAAAAGAGTAGGGAGCTTCAAAAGGTTACAAGACTGGTTGGGTTTAAAGGGGAGACTTGCATTGGTTTGTCAGGAGAGGTAGAATATGAAAATGAGGGTGGCTGACTGTTCTGATGTAAGAGCGCAGATTTTAAAACGAGCATTGGTTCAGGGCATCTAGGAATTAGGGCTCACTAGACGTTGTTTTAAGCGAAATCAAACAAAGTCCCTTAGCGTTGAAAATTCAGTAATTCTAAATAGTTTTCTGGCAAACACAAAGCTGATGCATGACAGTTTATCTACTGGTGTTTGATCAAATATCTGGATTTTACTAACCTCATAGCCATTATTTGACAATTCAAACGTTCTCTCTCTCTTCTCTAATAACTTCACAAGTTATTAGAGAAGAGAGAGAGATATGTAGTGAAGTCAGTGGTGTACCCGAGACTTCTGGTCGGGAGGGAGGGGGGGGGGGGAGAGGAAACGATAAAAATCTTTTCCACGGTGAAGGGCCACGCACTCCGAAAATTTTTTGGCATTTTTTTCTTAAAATTTCGCGGGCCCATAACTGCGAAATTTTAGAAATCGCGGGAGTGGCGTCAGCCACACCCCCGAAAAAATTTCGAGGCTAGAGAATTTTCAAAGCATTTTAAAATAATTTGAATTATTCACAAGGGTAAAGAAGTCACTTGCTATCTTTACAACCCACGTAAGTACTTTTGAAAGCCTCGGCCCCCTCCCCTTCATCGGTGCGCCACAGAGCGAGATAGAACCCTAAGACAGCACCCTGTTCTTGCTTTGTACAGAAACAAATCACATGAGTCACCTCACATAAGCTCAAAAAGATTCAGAAGGCTTATTAGGGAAGAATAACTTGAAAAAGTTTTGGGAAGTCGAAAACAACTAAGCTTTTGCTCCTGAGGCCTTTTCAGCCGCTCGGAGCCAGCTCAGCCCACCAGACTGAATCGAGGGTGGGGTTTACTTTCATAAAGAGTTGAAGGCGGGACCGAAATCAGGGGACCAATAGCGCAATTACCGTAACGGTGACGGAGCTTCTTCCTGTACGTGGGCCAAGAAGTGCTGAAGTGATAAAAGTGATAAAAGTTTTGGCTTTGCACACAAGTAGCCGGATCACTTCATTTGCAAGACTGATGGCCGTATTCCTGAAAAGCAGACGCAATTTATCCGTCCCTTCAGGCCTTTTTAGCTTCAGTATTACTAGTGGTTTGGGCTAAGTGGTAGTACATAGTTTGATGCTATTAGTTTAGTATTTAGTATTAATTTGTATCAGTAGTTACAGGAAAAAGCCAACAACTCTCTTGAACAACAAATGAATGTTTTCTGAATGTGTGTGAATGCACAAACTACCCAGCTTACGGTCCATCCAGCGCTGGCCATAAGTACGAATCTCTGCAGGAACAGTGCTTTTTCAGCGTTTCTGCGACGTTTTCGTCCATTTTACGTGCCGGTGGTGACATTGGTGAGGATCTGCTGAAATTGTATGGAAAATGACTAACACATTCAGATTTTGTGTTCGAGTATGCGTTAGTCACATCGAGTGGCGAAACTAAACAAGGCTTTACTGCTAAAGCTACTAATTTTTTAAAATTGCATAACTGACAGGACGCTTAATGTTTTCTAAGAATTGATTAAATCTTCTGTCATAAAACGCGCAACTTCTGAGAACTAACAACACCATATGTATGTATTAGCAAATCGTTTTCTGTCAGCAAATAACAAAATTTGTAGTTATTACACTAGCATGACCCAAGAAAGTGAACCTTTTTACCATTTCTTATGATTGCACCTTGATGGCAAGAAGCTACCCTTTCTCCCCTTAAAACAAAGATAGTCATCAAATTATTCAAATCGTTCGGAAGAAATAAAACTGCATAATGGGAAGAAGTGTACACGAACCAAGCTTCATTTGACCACGTTTTTGAATATTTTGTGCTCCGTTAGGGGAAATTCGTCTGTGAAGAGTTTGAAGTGCAGGCTTGGAGTTTTTCCTATTTTTTGAGCTGATTTATTTTACTAGAATCAATCTATTTTTTGATATTAGCATTGGCATATATTTAATTCCGCTAAGACAATTCACCAATTAAAAGATAAGCAAAATTTGCAGATGTTCCACAGGACTTTGTCTACTATTACGAAAAGTGAAAACCTTGAGAATGGGAATTTTTGAAGGATTTTCACGTTAGATTGAAAAAGTGGAGCTTTCGCCGGACTTTTTACAAAGCGCTGCGGAAACTCCGAAAAATGGTTGCGCAGCACTTTGGCCTGCCAGTACTTTCGCAGAGTTTCAAAGGTGTTATCTCTTACGATGTTGTCTCGCCAACAACTAGACTGCATTGTCGAACATATACTTAGTGCAGAGGAAAGTTAGTGAGTCTCGCACAACAGACTAAGCTTCAAATCTCGCTTAGGTGTTCCCTTTTGCTGTTATGGTTCGCATTCTTCGGAACTTCCACAGGTGACTCGGCGGAACTTTCCCAGCTGCGAACTTTCCGTTCTGCTGAAATTTCGGTCAGTTTCTGCGTGGTTCTTTCGGCAATTATGAGGGTATCTATCATGATAGAAGAGGGCAAAAGCAACAATTATGCTGGAATTTTTGGCATATATATGCAGTTCTATCCTATGTGTATTTGGATTTGTGAATTTTTGTACATTTTAACGTTTTTCAGTCAGTAACAACTGTAATTTCTTCCTCTACAAATTGTAAGAAGCGTTGATTGCGGCAACATATTCAATTTTGGTAATGCGCGGCGATTCCAGCAAAGTAGTAGAGATCTTTTGCTGAAAGCTGTTACGGACTGATAGTTTCGACAGCTTTTGACTACGCGCCAAATCCAAGTGTATCTTTAGTTGTGAAAACAATGTCTTTTTCAGTTTTAAAAACTTGAGGAACTATTGTTTCGTTTGATGAGAAAGATTTTTCGGTTTGTTTTCTAGTCTTACTTTTCATGCATGCGCAACTATCTGGCTTTCTTGAGAGGAAAAAACTGAAATTAATCGCACAAAAATGAGATCTTTCACTACTCAGTGTTTTGAAAAATGTGCACAGGGCTTCGTCGTTGATATCTCTTTTTTTTTACGTCTTCTGCCAAAATCTAAGGAAAGACTTAGACTAGCAGTGGAGCCAATCACCGAGCGCTCCTTATTACTGTAGGATCATGGCAGGACGAAAAGGATTTCAGGCAATTGTGTGCCATTTTTGACCCAGTACGAGTGTCAAGCAAGCCAAAACTCCTTTGCTGGTTCAATTAAAGTCGCTGATTTCGAATATAAAGCTTGCACTTCCCTGTGGTGATTCTTTACAAAGTTATACATGTAAACCGTAAAAACTGTTTTTGCTGTGTAGATATGTGATGACAATCTGGAAAACAAAAATTTCAGGAAAAGTTGTTTAGTGAGATCAGCATGCTAAATTCTCCAGATTTCTTTTCGGAAACCTTAAACAGCCTGTTCCACCATGGTTTCATATCCTGAAAGTTCCTACCGTAATCCCACAGCATCGAAGCGTTTGGTGATTCGCTCCAAATCGCAATTCGAAAAGTTGAAACCAGCTTTAATTGTAAGGAATATTACCTAAAGATCGACGAAGGACATTGACGCAAAAGAGTTATTGATGATCCAGTGCGCAAAATTTATTGGAACATCCTGTACTATCGGTTGTACTTCAGAAAGTCATTTTTGTGTATAATTCAAGTACGTAGCGCTTCGCGGGGTTGGGCTTCTTTGTCTAGGGACCTAGACTGGCAATAACTCTATGCTGCATTCTCAAACGGAATTTGGGTAGTCGTACACATAAGAAAATCCTGTAATTCCTATCTTTACAACTCTTATAAACCATACGAAGTGTAAAGCGACAAGAAAAATCCTTTTTTTATAATTTTCCTGAAGAAAATTTTCGTTCTAATTTTGAGTAGCCACAAATAGCACTAATGAAAAGAGGGCAAGGCTATGATGATTTGAATAACCTCTAGCATGAAAAAATATCATTGTAGGTACAAATTAATTACAAGAAATTTTCTGAATCGAAGGTCCGATTTATGTATGCAAAATCTTCTCGTCCTAATACTTATCATTTTGCTATAGCGATGCGAGGCTTAAAGTTTCTTATAGAGACATTCTTCCCATTTTCTTTACTTTTGATCCATTGATAAAAAATTCGTATATGCAACAGAGTCGTTAGCTATGTATAAATAGATTGAAATTGCGCATGTTGATTTTTTCCAATGTTTTTTGACCAAGGTACAAATTGAATTATTGGACTTGTGTATAATCTGTATAAATAAAGCTGAGTGTCTGTCTAAATGTGTGGGTCTTTATGTCTGTACGTTTGTATCCCTGTATGTCTGTATGTTTGAATATATTTTGAGAAATATTTCTAAACCAATCCGGACCAAACTTTGCACACATACACCTCAGGGAGGGTCGGGTTTCGTAGGGTACTTCTCGTTAGATCAATACCAATTTTATCGATTTTTTTGTAAATTTTCAGCTACAGGGCTGGCAATTAGCAGAGATCACGATTATGTTCTTCAAAGGGTCGAGAGAAAGCGGGTATGCCAGCTAGTTTGATATACAGGATGCCCAAAAATGTGCTTACTGTTTGATTATCAATAACTCTCTTATCATGATGCCTTTCGAGAAACGTTGAGTACGTTGAATTATGTAGAGCGGATTTCAATTTAGACTTACAGCATGGTATGAATCCCCGATCGCTCTCCGCTACTGTGGGATTACGGTAGGAACTTTTAGCTTGCAGTCATTGTGGATTATTCATGTTTCGAGA